ACGCGTTCTCTGGAGTGACGAATCGCGCTTCTCCATCTGGCAATCTGATGGACGGGTCTGGGTTTGGCGGTTGCCAGGAGAACGGTACTTGTCTGACTGCATTGTGCCAAGTGTAAAGTTTGGTGGAGGGGGGATTATGGTGTGAGGTTGTTTTTCAGGAGCTGGGCTTGGCCCCTTAGTTCCAGTGAAAGGAACTCTGAATGCTTCAGCATACCAAGACATTTTGGACAATTCCATGCTCCCAACTTTGTGGGAACAGTTTGGAGCTGGCCCCTTCCTCTTCCAACATGACTGTGCACCAGTGCACAAAGCAAGGTCCATAAAGACATGGATGACAGAGTCTGGTGTGGATGAACTTGACTGGCCTGCACAGAGTCCTGACCTCAACCCGATAGAAAACCTTTGGGATGAATTAGAGCGGAGACTGAGAGCCAGGCCTTCTCGTCCAACATCAGTGTGCGACCTCACAAATGCGCTTCTGGAAGAATGGTCAAAAATTCCCATAAACACACTCCTAAACCTTGTGGACAGCCTTCCCAGAAGAGTTGAAGCTGTTCTAGCTGCAAAGGGTGGACCGACGTCATATTGAACCCTATGGATTAGGAACGGGATGTCACTTAAGCTCATATGTGAGTCAAGGCAGGTGAGCAAATACTTTTGGCAATATAGTGTATAAGGACAACTGGTAATTAGGTTCATTAACAGTTATGTTTGGTAAAGATAAGTACATTTTTAAGTCTTTTTTTTTCCTTTTAGAACTAATATTGGAGAAGGTTTCTGCTCTGGAATGGACTGCTAATTGTTGTGGGAAGGGCTCTAATTTAAAATTAGCCCTGAAACTATCTTAAACCTTAAAAATCTCCTTCCCTTTAGAAATCCTCTTTTCTTTTACCCTCTTTCTCGTTCATTTGTCTCTCTGGTAGAAACTCTCCTTTCTCAGGTTGTTTAGGGAGGCTTCATGGGCTCTCTCTGTCACTCTCGGCATCTCTCTCTTCCCCTTTTCTCTCTCCTTCTCTCCCTCTCTCCCACCCTCCACATCTCTGAGGGAAGGCTGTTAATAATGCAGGAGGATTAGCTGATTTATGTGAGCTGGAGGCGATCAGGAAAGCTGGGGTTCCCGGGGGCTATAGGCTGAGGGGACGAGTGTGTGCAGTGTGAAAGGCGATGGCACACGGGAGTCCAAGGTGCTTGGATGATGGAAGCTGGATGGGTTCCTGGTGAGCATCCTAGCCGTAATCTGTCCCACCCTCCCAGCCACCCCTGACCCTCTTTGCCCTGTAGCTCGGGGGGCTGTGCCAGGAGTGCTCCACAGGGGAATCAGAGTGACTTTTGTGGTATTTTCTAATGGTTCCCATCAACCCTGACAATGCTCCTACAATTGGAGTTCTTAGACTCTTTTAAAGGAATCCTGTGATTTCTTCTGTTTTATTGTGTTCATCTTTTTAACAGCTAAATTGTGCTTCCTTTATATTCAGTTAATCAATTATGCAAACACACCATCATGTACGGTGCCTTGTAAAGGTATTCACATACTTTGCACTTTTTAAAATCATTTTATCTTGTTGTATGTAGTCTGACTATTTAATTCAGTTCTGTAAGTGGGCTGGTATGCAACAGTATGCATTACTAGCACTGCATACTAGGACATCTATACCTGCATTCCCCTGCATCCACTAACTCTATTGTAGAATTTATTTTGCTTTTAAAAACCAGGAAAATCATGTGGCTTTGATGCAAAACACTGACCGTGTATCCATGATGCTGATGCATGAAAAGGGAAGTGGAGGAAAAAATTATCTTGTTAGTTAAATGATAAAAGCAGCTCTCTGAACAGTCCTCCACTACACTAGTAAGCTAGAATTAGCACATCCAGCTGTGAAGCTAATGCTACAAAAACTCCTGTTGTATATTATCTGATAAAAGGAAGATCAGGGAAGATGCTACCCATTTAAGGCAATGCCTTCCTCAATATTGTGTGGTTCCCCCATCTATTTCCAAAAATGGCCTCAATGTTAATGTTTTGAAAGTAGCAAAAATCAATAAAATGAAAAATCAAACTCTTGAAAAAATCTTGAATTAATTCTGCACCAACAATTGTCCATATATTTTCACATAAGCTAACTGTGTTTTACCTATCATGAAGAAACAGATACAGTATAATGAATAAAATACAACAAAGGGAAGTGTGAAATAGAGGTATGACACATCCTGAGTGCTGTCAGAATACAGCTCTAATTGCACAGTATAAACATCATCTAGGACCCCAATAAATATCACCCTCTTACCTCTACTTTTTATGCGGTGCATTCACATGCGATAAACAAAGCTCTAGATTTAGCGGATATTAACAGACATCTCCAGAAGATGATGTTAACGGATGTGTATTGAATCTTACAGCAAAGTGCGATGCATGATGTGATCTACCATTTATCTCTGATAATGAATCTTCTCAGCCTTTTTGGAAGGCTAAACATGGAATAATGTATCATGCTTTGTTGTTCTTTTTAATGGCTTTCTTTGATTTTTTTTTATATCGCTAAAAAAAACTGTCTCACGACATTTTAAGTAAAGTTAAATGAAACAAAATAATATTCAAAGTACAGTGTAGATAAGGTCTAAAATATCCAGAAGCTTGTGTTTTAATTGCCATTAAAAAAAAAAAATTATGTCAACAAAAAAAGTTGCATTTATGTGTATTTACATGTTAGCTTTTCCAGCCCTGATTGCTTCAGTTTAGTTTTTTTTTTAGCTTTCCTGTTGCCAAGCTGTTTAGGATTAATTAATTCATGACTTTACTAAGGTATCACCAGCAGTGTATCTTTTTTTACTACTTAATTACATACTGGGCTCATGAAGAGGGTCAGGATGAGAGTTGGAGTGAGGCCCATATATTTCTTGAACAAATATTTGTGCATTGCGTACATCAAATAACATGCTTTGCACATTTTATTTTGAATATGCCATAATTATGATGAGCTACTATATCTATGAATTTTCATAAGCCAATATTTATTGGTGCCTCCCTTGGAACTTGCAGCCCTAGGCACAATGCATGACATGTGTGGGCAGAACACAAGTGCAGGATAAAACAATATTACTAAAGTGGTCAGTCCTAATACTGAGAAATAAAAAAAAAAATCACAGAAGGAAATCGTAGTGAGCTGAATGAAATCTTAAGATAGAGTTGCCATTTATTTGTAAAATAACTTTTATAGATTTGTATATTAGGTTTTGTTTTATTTTATATCTCCATGTTAACATGTTTCCAGTTTACCATGAGGCTTGAAGTTCATGACACTTTGAAATCCACTATAGATTTGAAGTTTGATTTTCTTTATCTTGAATGCACTTCCTTCCCTTTAAAAGTTAAGCACTTCTTTATACTGGAACACTGATCTTTTACAAAAATCATTAAAAAAGGGCAGATACATTTTTGGTGTGGCTTTCTGAAAAAAAAATACATAAAATACATGATATTGTGTACTAGCCCACTTTGTATCTACTAACTAAATTTGAGTACTGGCAGGAAAGATTGATTTTAAAAAGTTGAACTAAGGAGACCAGGATGTCCCGAAGAATTTTCATCTGTCTTCTGGTATGGTGCAAAATATGGTGTACGTACAAAAAATGTACATCTAAACAGTAGATATGTGTTTCCTCCACCAAGAGGGCAGGAACATAAAAGCCAAGAGCTCTTTGCTATAGGTGAATAAAGCACACTGGTTGGCCCAAGCCCTCTGAGATCCTTGAGGAGGTGCTTGTTCCCTGCTTACCAGATTCAAACATTCAGACTTTTGTTCTCACACTCATTGAATGGTCATGACTCACGTCTGGATTGATCTGGAAGAAAATCCGGTCACATCACATACCTTTTAAGATCAGCCGTCCTTACACAAAGATAACTCTTTTAACATTTAATCATAGCCGTATGTGTGTGTATAAGCTCTGCATGTATGATATTTGATAGACCTAAATGAGTGGGCAAGTGAGCTCTCATACGGGAAAGTTCATACATATGCATGAAACCTCATGGTTGTGTCACTTGGGGGGGAAATAAATGTGCAAAGAGCTGGGCAGCCGGGCCCCTCACTCAAGTGCACTGGCGGGCGCGTAATGGGAATGCAATTTAAGCAGTGGTTAATCAGTGTGTTTTCACCAGCTTGCCCAGCAATGCATAATAGACAATCAGCCCCCAGTCACATGGGCGTTCCTACAAATGGTCAATTACTCATCATAGTCTTGTTAAACACAAGGTTCATCCAGCCAGGGACAGATTGCTCCGCTGGTGCCATTATTATTGGTAAGAACAAAGCAAAGCAACATTGTGAGTCAGAAAGAGAGGAAGGGAAAGAAGAGACAATAGGAATTGGAAGAAGCACAAAGTGTATTTCTGCTCATCAAAATAGGAAAGAGACAACCGGAAATGGCTGTTGTAAAAAAGAAGAGGAAGGAAAAGGGAAATCCAAAAATGGAACCAAAAAAGAGGAAAAAGAGAGGGGAAAAGGACCGTTATAGTCATGCTGAGAAATGCAAGAATGAAAGACAGAAAAGAGAGAGCAGAGGTGAAATGGAGCAAAGCAATAAAAGAGATTGAGGGCATGAAAGTGAGAGATAGAGAGAGCAAGATAATGGAGAGAGGGAGAGAAATTGAGAAAGGGACACTGGGGAGCAGGAGCAAAAGTGTGTGAGAGCGAGAGGGAGAGAGCCTGAGAAAGTGTGTACTCAGCTGTGAGATGAGACCTCTGTCTGCCCATGGGGAGAGATGCTGTGAAGGGAGACGAGGGGAGAGGACTTTGCTGACAGCGAAGGGGTGGAGAACCCCCCCACCCCACAGATACACATACTCTCTCACTCACCCGTCCTCTCTGAGGCCTTATGAAGTAAAATGCAACCTTACATCACGATATGATGCTTCTTCTTAAGTTTGGTAAAAACATGGCAAATGTCTACTCCCCTGATTATTGTTTTCCATCTTCCCCTATGCCCCATTGGTGATCCAGGCAGTGGATTGATGGGAAACTCATCGGCCTCTTTCATGGGGACCTTCCTGGCCAGTAGTTTGGGTTCCCCGCCGTCTCACCCGCCTCACCCTTCCAGGCCGCCCTCCTCCCCTTCTTCGCCCTCCTTCCGAGGCGGACCCCACTCCAGCGCCTCGCAGATCTGGTTTCCTCATTCCCATGAAGGTATGTCACATATGATGAGTATATACACATTCATTTACTAGTTATGTCACCACTTCATCATATCTTCAGTATAAGGAAATAGGTACTTTTAGGAAGAGACCCAGCTATAACTTGTTTATCCAGAGAGTGTTTATTTTGATAGGTTGTTTAAAGTTTTTGCTTAGTACAGCTTGTAATAGTCCAGTAATAGTTCTGCACCCAAAAATATAGACAAAACTTCACTTTTCTGGGTAAGGACACAGAGTCAATAGTTCAGTTAAGGAATCTTGCGGTATTCAACTCATGTCAGCAGGAATGCTGCCACAGACTGTGCGAATCAGCTCATGCAAACATGCGCCAATAAAAGGTTGCAGTGATTGCAAAGCATTTAGCCTCCGCCTGCATCGCTGCTTGATAGATGGGGGGGTTCCTGCCTAACAGTCAGCATTACAACATCCATACTACACAAACATGTGCCCAAAAATTAAACACAATCTTGAGGTTTTTTCATCAGGAAATCAAAGAACAAGTAAATAGTGATGTTTTTTTTTCATATCTTTTGAATATCTATGCTTAAAGTAACAGAGGACACCATATCAAAGACTTATAGCACCAATGAGACAATATTTTTTACAACTACTTTTTAATTTAATTAGAGCTACAGGTTTTAAGGAGTATCTCATAACCTGCTTTGAACATTTGATAATGAAAGTGTTTAGTTGTTCTTCTTAGCTCAAGGTCAGTCTTGAGTAGAAATGCATCCATCCACATTTTTACTTTCTATCCGATACCAATACTAGATCCCAATTATCCTAATTTGGTGTAATATGGCAGTATTTAGAAACGATTTAAGAGCTAAAAAGGCCTTTTTCAAAGACCTGTATCATTAGATGAAGAAGCCATTAGATAGCATTGAAAAACTATATCATAGCTAACCCAAAGAAAATATCTACTGGCGTCGGATGTAGGAGTTTGCCCTGAAATGGAAGGGTTGATAGTTCTAACCCCGGCTAAGGCTTTCGGTGTCGTTGTGTCCTTGGGGAAGACACTTGGACCGCAATGCCTACTGATGGTGGTCAGAGGGACTGGTGGCGCCAGTGTACGGCAGCCTCGCTTCTGCCAGTGACTCCCAGGGCAGCTGTGGCTAAAATGTAGTTTGCCACCATCAGTCTTTGAGTGTGTGTGTGAATGACTGAATAGAGTGTAAAGTGCTTGGTCAAGTCTCCTGACTTGAGCACTACATAAGTACAGACCATTTATCATATATAAAAGATGGATCTAAGATGTTAGATGAAGACGTAGTTAAGAAAATATATACATGACATATGTGATTTACTGTTAAATTCTTATTTTTTTATTTAGTTGCTTTGAAAACAGTTGTCAATGTGGTCAAAGGTAGGGGTAACATTCTGGCTGATGAATGTTTAAAGAGAAGATCTGTATGCATAGCTGTGTACATCTGGTAAGGAGATGGACTTTTTGCCTTTTTTACATCAACAAGGGTTCATTAATAAAAACCTTCTGTGTAATCCTGCTGACAAACAATAGCTGTGTGAGCAGATGTTTCACGCACCGATGCAAACAAGTCTTCAAAGACATGAAAGTGTGTTAGAAGTAGATGAACAACAGGAGCAACAACAAGAAGTCTTTAAACTGGTGTACCACCATCGATAAAATACTTAAGTTACAACTAGAAAAGGCTATGGTGCCTTCAAAGCTTTAGACTGAGGCGCCTTACCGCCACAGATTCTGTGTGGCGTCATGTTTCCAGGATCTTATGAGCATGTTGAACAGACAAATGCTTCTTCAATCTGGAGCTTTATTGCCTGAGTGAGTTAACAGTTTCTACAGTTCACAGAGAGGATCTCAACTGAGATATCAACTTCAACATCAGCTCACCCAGAAACATTCTCTCTCCAGGCTCATTTCCTGAAGCATCCCTGTTTGTCTTACCTTACGCTCTTAAGATTTCATCGTCAAACATTTTCTTTTGTGGAAAAGAAAAATAATATTAGAAATGATGATGGCAATGCCAAGCCTAATAAAAGTAATGGAGGTGATTATGACTGGGATTATTACTCAGTTGGCAATGGAGGCCATTATCTCTATTGCAGTTTAATTGCATATAACGCACTAAGAGCATGATTGAATCCAGACTGTTCATCAACCACATTCAGCTGTTCCCTTCTCGACATAATTAAACATTGTCTTTTTCCTGTTTTGCATAAAAAGCAAGTCATCAAAATGAGCGGCACAATTCCCCAGACTCTCGCCTCCTCTCTCTGGGTGTCAGCAGCCCCCCGCCGGCAGAAGAGCAGGCTCTGACTTCTGCATGTGTTGCAGCATTAGTGTCTTCCTTATATGCACAGATATTTTTTCTTATCTGCTCCCTGAGTGTGTTTTTAAACAGGTTGCTAACATGCTAATTGAAGAATAGCAGTTCAAATTCATAGTCAGTAGCTAGTCTCTGATTCAGATATTTTAGGTTCATTTGATGTATAAAGAACTTCAATGTTTTTTCACTATCTGAAAGTAAATCAGAATAACTATTTTTGATTCAGGTCAGTTTGGGATGAAATAAATATTTCTATATGGTAAATAAAAAAAGACAAACAGTTTGCCTTTTTTTATTTAGAATTATGTTATTTAGGTTGTTGGTAGAATTGAATTTGAAAATATTTGATTTCTGTCAAACATTTTGGGAATCCTCCCAATAGATTTGCCCACTGCCCACAAACCTTTAATAGAACTCAGGGGTTTAAAAACTTCACTCTAAAACATCGATGTTGTTGTTTTAAAGCCACTTTTTAATTAGTTTTCTAATATGTTTAAGGTAAACTACTTGGATAATATTTTTACATGATGCCTTTTCCCTCATAATGCCAAGCCATCTGGGAATTATACCAGTTCCTTCTACAGAAAGAACTGTACCCAGCTTTCCCCTTTTCCCTCAAATTGTAATAGACCTTTATTTTAAATACTATATTTTTTTATCCCCTGAATGTATTTTCAAACTGTGGTCTAGAATTTGATATTTATTTTTGACGTGAATATTGTTCCTCCTCTTCTTTTCTGACTGGTTCTCATTTCGAACCAGTCAGAAAAGACTGTATGGAACTCATTGCAAACAGTATAAAAGAATGTTTACACTAAATGTTGCAGCTGGAGCAAAGTATTCCCATGTTCTCTCTACGTAGAGGGTGGATCTGGAGCAAAGCAAGGAGAAAGAGGGAAATGGCATAAGTTTGGCGAATTTGGCAAAGCTCGATCATTAGGCTAAGCAAAATTTACAGTTGAAAGATCTCAACTTTTGTTTACATTTGTGTCGCTAAATCCAGCCAGGGACTAGATGTGGCCATGGGCAACAGTGAAGGAGCACACAGAGACAAGCTTTTTTTTTTTATCAAAATTGGAAGATAGAGAAATAATGTTGACAAAGGATAAAGTGGGAATGCTCTTAAGAAGATTTAAGGTTTCTTTAAAAAAAAGGTTTTGATTTAGCCCAAGAAGGACTGTGTTGTTGTTCTACCTCCAGCGCAGATGATCAGCCAATAGCTTCTTCCAACAGCTCAGCTGATGTCGCACCTAAACCTCTGTTTTCCGGTAATTCATCCGCGAATGTGGGACAGCAGGGCCCCCGAACCTGATCACAGATTGGCTGAAGTACTGAAGAAAGTGACCATCATACCCGCTGGGCGAATTCACATGCCGTGCAAAATGCTCTAAAAGTTCTACAGATGTAGACTTTGTCTTTTCTTCTCTTGAAGAACAGCCATACACCTATGGTGGTCTATTAGTTAGGGCATAGGGCTTGGAATCCTGATGTTCTGGGTTCGAGCCCCACTCCTACAAACTGCCACTGTGGGTCTCTGAGCAAGACTCTTAACCCCACACTGTTCCCCTGGTGCTGCCCGATGGCAGCCCACTGCTCCCCAAGGGGATGGGTTAAATGCAGAGGTAAATTTCTCTAATGTGAGCTCAAAATAAGTTCAATTATATTATAAAATATGTTCTTCTCAGGGTTGTGTTGTCTCTCCATTCCTCTTCCCTTTTTGCAAAAATGACTGCAACTCAGCTCAGCTGTCTTTGAATCTCTTTAAGTTTGCAGAGGAAATCAGTAGCATAGATAGGATCCAAGACAATGACGGTTCGGCATACAGACATAAAGTGGACCAGCTAGTCCATAGGTGTCCCCAGAACCACCTTGAGTGAAACTCGCTAAATGTGTTAGAGGGGATGGTGGTTCTCATGCATAAACTCTCTTCAGAAAACGGCCCAGCAGAGACTCTATGTCCTGCAGAAATTCCACAGGAGCTGCTAGTCGTCTTCTGCACATCATGAGATTTTGCTTATACAAAACAAGAGAGGTTCAAACTGCAAGGCACAGTTAGATCTGTAGAATGGTTGGTAATTGGGAATATCCGACCATACCCAAACTCCTTGTATGCCTCAGAAAAAGTTGTCCTTTAAAGCTGACTCTGATTTCTAACAAAAGGCTTAGATAGGTTTTTTCTCTATTTTGGAGTTTGCAATCAGTCAAGAGCCCAACAAACTAAATGTATTTCCAAGCTAAGTTTTGTAAAATGCTTAAGGAAAGTGCTCAAATCATATACTGATGATGTTTTGTGTGTGTGCTTTTTTATGTTTAAGTTTATCTTGTCATTTCAAATCGAAATATGTGGCCAAATATATTTCTCATTAGAAATCCTTACTATTTAGGTACTTTGCAAAACATTTTCACAATTACTTTTTTCAGCTTTATATTTTTGTAAAAGACAGTCTTAAAATTTGATTGGTTACATCCTGGATTTTCACTCAAATTAAATTTTTTGTTTTCTGACTTGTGCCTTGTGTTCTGTTTTGGGAGGTGGCGTATAGTGTACGGTAGATCATATAGAGGCTAGTTTAATAAGCAGATTATTTAGGTTTAGATAAGGTCTTTATGTTAAATGCTAAGCTAATGTACATACTGTAACCTTTTCACTCAGGCTTTTAGAAACTTGAGTTAAAAATAGAAAGTG